TGGCCCCACAGCCGAGGTGAGGCCGGGCTAACCACTTTACTGTGGGTCAGATGCTCACACAAGCTGGTTGTGTACACTCGTACTCTCACGTGGCGGCCTGGTGTCCATGGGTCACCAGGCCAACAGTTTCTACCCTTGCCGGGTTTGATTCCCGACACGGGTAGAAGCATTGGGCGTGTTTCCTTACACCTGTTATCCATGTTCACCATCAGTAAAATGGGTACTGAGTGTTAGTCGACTGGTGTGGGTCGCATCCTGGGACAAAATTGACATAATTTGCCCTAAATGCTCTGCCTAACAAGCAGCTTTCTATATAGTAGTATGTCATTGATGTCAGGTCTATATACCTTATACATGTACTTGTAGAAATAAAGATATTATTATTATTATTATTATTATTATTATTATTATTATTATTATTATTATTATTATTATTATTATTCTGAGGTATAAAACCAACTATTATGAAGGCTCTTTGCTCCCTGGATTATTATTATTATATATCTGATTTAACACGGTAAGTATTGTAAATATTTTGGTAAAAAGATACGAGTAAAGAAAAATGTACCTCACTGTTTGCCTTTGACTTCTTGGCCGGATACAACAAACCTTGGAATTGTTTACCTGCGCTTGTAACAAAGATATGTACTTTTTGCTAGTATCTTTATTTTCATATTACATATTGTAGTTTACAGTTTATGTATGAATAAGGAATCCTTTAGCTTCTCAAGTATGTTTTTCCTCTAGGACCCTTCAAGGAAGGTTCCTTGACGCTGGTGAGGGGCTCTTGATCTAGGTAATTGGATCTGGTCTCCAGTTCCCTGAATTAAACTTGAATACCTTCCACATCCCCCGACAGGCGCTGTATAACCCAATGGGTTTAGTGCTTCCCCCTTGATAATAATAATAATAATAATTTTCCTATAGAAACACTACTGTTGTATAGAGATGTTATAAATCCCTAAAATTTAGACGTTGATCCACATCTGTCTGTCTTATCTCAAACATTATTTACAAAAAGTTATTTTTCATATTTATGCATAGACTTCCGCGGTTGATAATACAGTCAAACCCTACAGGAAATGGTAAACCACTTCGACTGACCTGATGTCTGATGACTGCAGCCCAGTAATGACCAATGCTTTTTTTAGTGGTCATAAAATACTTAATTTTTCTTGAGTGTGTTTGTATCTCCATGTATTGTGTAGATTAGCTATATGAAATAACTGTAATATATGAAATAACGGTAATATTTATCAAGAAGTAACTATGCCCAAGGTTGAACTTTCTCAGGGTCAGGATACAGCTCCGTCTTGGGCTGAACATCGTATTAATTCTTTGCTGCCGTTGTCTTTATTCCCATTTCACACATTCAATTTATCCACACGAATTTCCAGTTTCTTATTCTTCTTGAGTAGAGCCTCTTCTACGTTCATAGAGCAAACCATGTTAGAGTCTATAACACTCTATGTAAATTCTCCAATTAACACTCAGCTGCAGGACAGGTCAAGTAACACTCAGCTGCAGGACAGGTCAAGTAACACTCAGCTGCAGGACAGGTCAAGTAACACTCAGTGCAGGGCAGGTCAAGTAACACTCAGCTGCAGGAGAGGTCAAGTAACACTCAGCTGCAGGACAGGTCAAGTAACACTCAGCTGCAGGACAGGTCAAGTAACACTCAGCTGCAGGACAGGTCAAGTAACACTCAGCTGCAGGGCAGGTCAAGTAACACTCAGCTGCAGGAGAGGTCAAGTAACACTCAGCTGCAGGACAGGTCAAGTAACACTCAGCTGCAGGACAGGTCAAGTAACACTCAGCTGCAGGAGAGGTCAAGTAACACTCAGCTGCAGGACAGGTCAAGTAACACTCAGCTGCAGGGCAGGTCAAGTAAACACTCAGCTGCAGGAGAGGTCAAGTAACACTCAGCTGCAGGACAGGTCAAGTAACACTCAGCTGCAGGACAGGTCAAGTAACACTCAGCTGCAGGAACAGGTCAAGTAACACTCAGCTGCAGGAAGGTCAAGTAACACTCAGCTGCAGGACAGGTCAAGTAACACTCAGCTGCAGGACAGGTCAAGTAACACTCAGCTGCAGGGCAGGTCAAGTAACACTCAGCTGCAGGAGAGGTCAAGTAGCACTCAGCTGCAGGACAGGTCAAGTAACACTCAGCTGCAGGACAGGTCAAGTAACACTCAGCTGCAGGGCAGGTCAAGTAACACTCAGCTGCAGGAGAGGTCAAGTAACACTCTGCTGCAGGACAGGTCAAGTAACACTCAGCTGCAGGACAGGTCAAGTAACACTCAGCTGCAGGGCAGGTCAAGTAACACTCAGCTGCAGGAGAGGTCAAGTAACACTCAGCTGCAGGACAGGTCAAGTAACACTCAGCTGCAGGACAGGTCAAGTAACACTCAGCTGCAGGACAGGTCAAGTAACACTCAGCTGAGCAGGACAGGTCAAGTAACACTCAGCTGCAGGACAGGTCAAGTAACACTCGCTGCAGGACAGGTCAAGTAACACTCAGCTGCAGGCAGGTCAAGTAACACTCAGCTGCAGGAGAGGTCAAGTAAACTCAGCTGCAGGACAGTCAAGTAACACTCAGCTGCAGGACAGGTCAAGTAACACTCAGCTGCAGGGCAGGTCAAGTAACACTCAGCTGCAGGAGAGGTCAAGTAACACTCAGCTGCAGGAGAGGTCAAGTAACACTCAGCTGCAGGACAGGTCAAGTAACACTCAGCTGCAGGAGAGGTCAAGTAACACTCAGCTGCAGGGACGGTCAAGTAACACTCAGCTGCAGGACAGGTCAAGTAACACTCAGCTGCAGGACAGGTCAAGTAACACTCTGCTGCAGGAGAGGTCAAGTAACACTCAGCTGCAGGAGAGGTCAAGTAAACACTCAGCTGCAGGAGAGGTCAAGTAACACTCAGCTGCAGGAGAGGTCAAGTAACACTCAGCTGCAGGAGAGGTCAAGTAAACACTCAGCTGCAGGAGAGGTCAAGTAACACTCAGCTGCAGGACAGGTCAAGTAACACTCAGCTGCAGGAGAGGTCAAGTAACACTCAGCTGCAGGAGAGGTCAAGTAACACTCAGCTGCAGGACAGGTCAAGTAACACTCTGCTGCAGGAGAGGTCAAGTAACACTCTGCTGCAGGAGAGGTCAAGTAACACTCAGCTGCAGGACAGGTCAAGTAACACTCAGCTGCAGGACAGGTCAAGTAACACTCAGGTGCAGGACAGGTCAAGTAACACTCAGCTGCAGGACAGGTCAAGTAACACTCAGCTGCAGGACAGGTCAAGTAACACTCAGGTGCAGGACATGTCAAGTAACACTCTGCTGCAGGACAGGTCAAGTAACACTCAGCTGCAGGAGAGGTCAAGTAACACTCAGCTGCAGGACAGGTCAAGTAACACTCAGCTGCAGGAGAGGTCAAGTAACACTCAGCTGCAGGACAGGTCAAGTAACACTCAGCTGCAGGACAGGTCAAGTAACACTCAGCTGCAGGAGAGGTCAAGTAACACTCTGCTGCAGGAGAGGTCAAGTAACACTCAGCTGCAGGAGAGGTCAAGTAACACTCAGCTGCAGGACAGGTCAAGTAACACTCAGCTGCAGGACAGGTCAAGTAACACTCAGCTGCAGGACAGGTCAAGTAACACTCAGCTGCAGGAGAGGTCAAGTAACACTCAGCTGCAGGAGAGGTCAAGTAACACTCAGCTGCAGGACAGGTCAAGTAACACTCATCTGCAGGAGAGGTCAAGTAACACTCAGCTGCAGGACAGGTCAAGTAACACTCAGCTGCAGGACAGGTCAAGTAACACTCAGCTGCAGGACAGGCCAAGTAACACTCTGCTGCAGGAGAGGTCAAGTAACACTCAGCTGCAGGACAGGTCAAGTAACACTCAGCTGCAGGACAGGTCAAGTAACACTCAGCTGCAGGACAGATCAAGTAACACTCAGCTGCAGGAGAGGTCAAGTAACACTCAGCTGCAGGAGAGGTCAAGTAACACTCAGGTGCAGGACAGGTCAAGTAACACTCAGCTGCAGGACAGGTCAAGTAACACTCTGCTGCAGGAGAGGTCAAGTAACACTCAGCTGCAGGGCAGGTCAAGTAACACTCAGCTGCAGGAGAGGTCAAGTAACACTCAGGTGCAGGAGAGGTCAAGTAACACTCAGGTGCAGGAGAGGTCAAGTAACACTCAGGTGCAGGAGAGGTCAAGTAACACTCAGCTGCAGGGCAGGTCAAGTAACACTCTGCTGCAGGAGAGGTCAAGTAACACTCAGGTGCAGGACAGGTCAAGTAACACTCAGCTGCAGGGCAGGTCAAGTAACACTTTGCTGCAGGACAGGTCAAGTAACACTCAGCTGCAGGACAGGTCAAGTAACACTCAGCTGCAGGAGAGGTCAAGTAACACTGCTGCAGGACAGGTCAAGTAACACTCAGCTGCAGGACAGGTCAAGTAACACTCAGCAGCAGGCCAGGTCAAGTAGCACTCAGCTGCAGGACAGGCCAAGTAACACTCAGCTGCAGGACAGGCCAAGTAACACTTAGCTGCAGGACAGGTCAAGTAACACTCAGCTACAGGACAGGTCAAGTGACACTCTGCTGCAGGACAGGTGGTCAAGTAACACTCTGCTGCAGGAGAAGTCAAGTAACATCTGTTGCAGGACAGGTCAAGTAACACTGCTGCAGGACAGGTCAAGTAACATCTGTTGCAGGACAGGTCAAGTAACACTGCTGCAGGACAGGTCAAGCAACATCTGTTGCAGGACAGGTCAAGTAACACTCAGCTGCAGGACAGGTCAAGTAACACTCAGCTGCAGGACAGGTCAAGTGGCACTCTGCTGCAGGACAGATCAAGTAACATCTGTTGCAGGACAGGTCAGGTAACACTCAGCTGCAGGACAGGTGTTACGACCTTCCTCGACCGCTGACCTTAACATCAAATACTTTAATATGAAGGATATATGAAACACCTGATCTGAATACTCTGTATATTGACCACCAAATATACTGTAGAGAATATAAGCATAAATACGTATAATATATACAAACATAAAACATGATAACTAAATATTTTCTCTAACCAACTCAGCTAACTATTTTAAACTGCAACTAATTTAAAATAGACACACGAACAGAGCCATTCATAAGACATTCGTTAGGAAACTGTTGGCTCAGCTGACCAAAATAATCAATAGTATTAAAATAAGAACAAAAGAGTAAAGGAACATTGGAGTAAGCTTACTAGCCAATCCTAGGCAGGTCTTACTCGCCCTAACCATTTCCGCTAGTGTACCTGTCCAGCCTATTTAGTAAAGCTGGTGCTAGTTTTAGTGATGCAATTTGACGTTCAAAATCAACCGTTCCTTTAATTTCGGTTTAGGAAATGCGGGAAAAATCATTGATTCTTGAGCCTCTGGGCTCTTGGTTCCCCACCATACTGTACCATAGTCCATTATGTGTCGACTGTCATCTAACACTGATAGAAAAACTAATCTTCATATAATGGAATAGTCACTACAGCTCAAATCTTAACGAAGTGTGATTTATATTACAAAATATTTTTAAAATTATTACTTTCAAAAGTAAACTTGTAAAGGATGTTACATTGTATCTCATTCTGTTTATCTTCCATTACTCAGAATCTGTATGACTTCTACGAGTTAATGTTTTCCCATGAATATATTATTAATTAAATATTCCCTAGCGGTTGTTATAATACACTGCTACTGGAAGCATTGTTTGTTGGTGGGTTGTCTGCTTCACAGATGTGGCCAGCTGGGATGTATTGTTGGTGGTGAGGACTGTGATGGTGGTGGGGAGAGATGTGCTGGTGGTGGAGAGAGATGTGTTGGTGGGAGAGTGGAGACTCAGGAGTGTTGCTGCCGCTGGGAGCTGTCTCCAGGAGTGGAGTCATGTTTGTGTGGCAGACTCCATCATCTTCCAGAGTGTTGCGTGCACCTCTCCTCCATTTGTGTCTGTTCTCCACGTCTTGTAGTGTCTCCGGCAGAGGCCTCTTGTTCGTCTCCGGCAGGAAGGGGACCATGAGACTGCCCAAGATGCCAGCACAACCGAAGGTGACACTAACAGCCCACCAAGCATACTCCTCCTGTAGTACAATATATAGTCACTCTACTATACCTTTACACAACTTAAAATGCTAAGTACTTCCATTATTATTATTATTATTTTTAACTACAACAATTATTATTTATACTTTATTATTATTAATTTTATTATTAGGTATCCCTGAAGAGGGACCATTTGGTAGTTTCCTGATTTTTTTTTTTCAGCTTTATTTCTTCTTCCAGTTTATTGTATTTACAATTTCGGTTATAACACGAGGCCTCAACCGACTGGCTTCAGATTTTCCAGGCTGGTGTGTACAGTAATTAAGGCAAAATTTGTGCAGGTTCCATCTGACCGAAGTTGTTAAACCCATTTCCAGACTCCTGGAATATCTCCGATAACATCCAAAATCCTCTGCTGTTTGGCTTCCATCCTTCTCAAAAATGCCTTGTAACTCGATGACAGAGAGAGTAACAAGCAAATGCATAAGTATATACTTTATGTAAAAAAAAAAACCATGTCTTTTAAATCATGTTAAATATATTTAAGTCTTTCTCTCATGAATAGCTTCAGTATTTAACGGTTGATAAATCTTATAAACACGATAATAACTAGTAAGTTATGTGCAGGCAAATTTGTCAATATGCTAAATTAGTTTATATAATTTGTAGCCGTTAGAATCTGTGATATTACGAATACGTATTCCCATATCATAATTTCAATAATTACTTCTGAACCTTTTATCCATTGTTGACAGGAATATAATTGAATCATTGTTTCACAAAAAGCGTTTTTGAATATATGAATATATCTTTTGTCTATAGACAGGGCTTAATACACAAAGATATTCTTAAACACTATTCATCAGTTCTCACCAAAGTAATAAAGAAAGCCAAACAACTATACTACTCCAGTAGATTCACAGACACTAGAGGAGATATAAAAAAGACCTGGAAAACACTCTCAGATTCTAGGGACCCACAAACTGAAAAAAAACAAGAATATTGTCCTAACTAAACCTAATGAAACACCACTACATCCCACTGACACAGCTAACAAGATAAATGACTTCTTCTCAACCATAGGATCTAATCTCGCCAATAAAATCCCACATACTAATGCCCATGCTGGGGACTACCTAGATGGGAATTTCCCAAATTCCTTCTATCTTGCACCAACTGAGCCCTCGGAAGTCATCGAGATTAATAAAGTCACTTAAAAACAACTCAGGGAATCTGTCTAATGTCCCACATTACTGTACAAGCGAGCGGCCCATATCTTTCGCATGCTATTTCATTACTTTTTAACAAGTCACTAGAAACTAGCACCTTCCCGAAACTACTCAAGACAGCAAGGGTTACACCAATACATAAAGGTGGTGACCCTACAGACTTAAACAAAACTATAGGCCAATATCAAACTTACCATTGCTATCCAAAATCTTTGAGAAACTCGTGCACAGGAGACTATATTCATTTATAACAGCACAAAGCATACTCAACCCCTGCCAATTTGGATTTAGGAAAAATAAAAGCACTAACGATGCAATCATAAAAATGCTAGATCTGCTTTACACAGCATTGGAAAATAAGGAATATCCACTAGGAATTGTTATTGACCTAAGAAAAGCTTTTGACACAGTAGACCACGACATCCTACTCCACAAACTTGACCATTATGGTATAAGAGGCCATGCGCTTGCTTATTTCAAATCTTACCTTACTAATAGGTATCAGTATGTTACCATTAAAGACAGCATCAACAACACGGCCACTTGATACTGGAGTTCCGCAGGGAAGTGTCCTTGGTCCCCTGCTCTTCCTCATATACATCAATGATCTTCCAAACGTATCCCAACACCTGAAACCCATTCTCTTTGCTGACGACACGACTTATGTCATCTCTCACCCTAATCTTGCCACCCTCAACACCATTGTTAACGAGGAGCTGATCAAAATATCGACTTGGATGACAGCCAATAACTTACACTTAACACTGACAAAACCTACTATATTATGTTTGGTAGCAGAGCAGGAGATGCACAAATTAACATTAAGATCGACAACACTCTAATTACCAGACATAATGAGGGTAATTCCTAGGCCTATACCTTGACAACAACCTGAATTTCAGCACCCATATCCAACACATAACCAAAAAAGTATCCAAAACAGTTGGGATCCTCTCCAAGATTACGATACTACGTGCCGCAAAATGCCCTTCTCACACATTACGACTCACTTATTTATCCATACCTCACCTATGCTATTTGTGCTTGGGGATCACTGCAGCAACACACCTAAAGCCAATAATAACCAACAGAAAGCTGCAGTAAGAATATCACTAAATCCCATCCCTGGCAACACCCCCCCCCATCTTTATAGATCTAAACTTACTCCCTGTTCAGTACCATCCACACTTATGCTGTGCAATTCTACATCTACAGGACCTTAAACTCCAATATCAACCTTGACCTAAAACACTTTCTTGATAGTTGTGACAGAACCACAGGCATAACACCAGACACAAACATCTCTACGACATTCCCATGTCCGACTAAACCTTTACAAAAATTCAATTTATGTCAAAGGCCCTAAAATCTGGAAATACCCTACCTGAGAACTCTAGAACTGCAGAGACATTCATTCACCTTCAAAACTACCATTAGAAAACATCTTATCTCCCTGATACACCCCATCAACTAACTACACGATACCACCTGGTGGTTTCAACTTACACTCACTCACCCATTTGCCATAAACAGAAATATTAATCTCAATCTTAAAATAATGAATCCTATGATACTCCAATACTGAAACTATGTACTGTGCCCCAAAAAAAAAGCATTCACATTGCTAAACTCACAAACTAGTATTTAGTCACTTAGCCATAATACCAACTTACCTCATAATTTGTAATATTTTAAAATAATGAATTAAATTAAGTCTGCCCGAAATGCCTAGCCATGCTAGGCGTTCTAGTGGTACACTCTGTAATCATTATTTAACTACATGTAAACCACACAATAACCAAATTCTGTAAATTCAACATTGTAATCTTTATAGAGAATAAACTTTGAATTTGAATTTGAATTTATACAAATTATATTCAGTTATAATTAATAATCTACTGTACAACTAAGAAATAATTACTATCCTACTGTACAAGTATGATATAATCTTTAGTGTTAATTAAATAGACTGTAAGTCAGTAATGTTAAGTTGGCCCATAATGCCTAGGCATAATAGAGGCTTTCTTTGCATTGCAACTCACTATTATAAATAAAATCTCAATGTACTGTTTGCAAAGACATTAAATAAATAAATAAATAGAAATTACGTGTAGCCTCCGCTGCTCTTGGTAATATTTACAATGTTACTAAGTGGCCCGGTGGCCTGGTGGCTAAAGCTCCCGCTTCACACACGGAGGGCCCGGGTTAGATTCCCGGCGGGTGGAAACATTTCGACACGTTTCCTTACACCTGTTGTCCTGTTCACCTTGCAGCAAATAGGTACCTGGGTGTTAGTCGACTGGTGTGGGTCGCATCCTGGGGGACAAGATTAAGGACCCCAATGGAAATAAGTTAGACAGTCGTCGATGATGCACTGACTTTCTTGGGTTATCCTGGGTGGCTAACCCTCCGGGGTTAAAAATCCGAACGAAATCTTATCTTACTCTCCACCTGAGTGGTGACAGGTGACACACTTCAAGTTTAGACTGGTTAGGACCAAATTCGAAATTTTCTTGAAATTGTTAGAAAACTCGGAATCGTTGCATTCAGAGCAATTACTGGAAAAAGCCTTTTTCTGATAACGTTTATACCTTCATGGTTGATAGACTTTATGAAGAAGTTTGTTTTACGCTGAGATATGTAAGTTTTAAATTATCAATTTTATTAAATAAATTAATTTTCATTTAATAACTGGAGAAGGGTTTTTCTGGTCAGCTTCAAACATTTAAATGTTAGTGCATTATAATAGAAAGTATGTATGTTTGTACTGATTTTGGGCTATGTAGGTGCCAATTCGCCAGTTTTATTTAAATATATCAAACTGAATTTTAAAAAAACACGAAATCAATTATTTTTTCTATTAGAATTATAGAGATTTATAAATAAAAAAAAATAAACGCAAAAAAATAACTGTGAAACATTGAAAACTCGTTTTATATATATTTTTAATTTTCCCGAGGTTAGTAGAAGGCTTAGATAAGTACCACTTTATACCAGAGTCGACATATTGTTACCTGTTGAGTGCATTTTTCTAGTCGACCACTAACTTCAGTCAATCCATTCATTCATAACTACTAATAAACTTCATATTCTCAACCTGGTTAACTATTACTCAGGGAAGGTTGGTGGGGCAGTTGACAAGTGTAGCTGCCCTCTGTTCAATTTTACATACACCATTCCTCACACTGGTCTCCATGAGACAACTTTAGTGTGTGTCGTTATCTGTGATGGTTAATGGAGTGTATGTAGGTGCCATTCTGCCACTCTTAATCGCGAAATATCACTATTTAATAAAATTGGAAACGTGGGAATTATGTGGCGGATTAATAATGCCAATCTTGCTTCCTGGACAGCACATCAGGGCTTAAAATTTGATGTCGATGGGAAGGAGCATTCTCCACTTATCACATTTTCTAGTTTTTTAAATTTTATATAAAAAAATATCAATGCCCTCAAAAAATTGCCCCCGCACACACTAAACTAAACGAGTAATGAGAGTAAATGGTGTAGTGATACTGACAGCATGTGGAAAAACACATTTAGGTATAGTTCAGAACTCTTATTAAAGGAAACGTTTCGCCAAGGGTAGCTTGATCAGCCACTTGTGGCGAAACACTTCCTTTAATAAAGGTCCAGAACTGAACCTAAATATATTTTTCCATATCTTAACTGGTACTACCCTGGCAGGAAGCTGCGTCACTCACTATAAAACTGAAGTCGTTCAGGAGAGGTAGACTTAAACATATTTAGAGTGATTTATAGGGTATAAGAATTTCACTCTGTCTTAAACGTGAAACTGGTAGATATACATTATACACTTGAATTTTATTCTCCGCCGTCGTCGAATTAGGAGGCACCTTTCTTTGAACATTGGAAGCTACGCAGTAGAGGGTTTTGGAGGTTATCTCAGTCATACAGATTTAAACAACTATAGGCCAATATCAAACTTACCATTGCTATCCAAAATCTTTGAGAAACTCGTGCACAGGAGACTATATTCATTTATAACAGCACAAAACACTCAACCCCTGCCAATTTGGATTCAGGAAAAATAAAAGCACTAATGATGCAATCATAAAAATGCTAGATCTGCTTTACACAGCATTGGAAAATAAGGAATATCCACTAGGAATTTTTATTGACCTATGAAAAGCTTTTGACACAGTAGACCACGACATCCTACTCCACAAACTTGACCATTACGGTATAAGAGGCCATGCGCTTGCTTATTTCAAATCTTACCTTACTAATAGGTATCAGTATGTCACCATTAAAGACACAGCATCAACAACCGGCCCACTTGATACTGGAGTTCCGCAGGGAAGTGCCTTTGTCCCCCTGCTCTTCTCATATCATCAATGATCTTCCAAACGTATCCCAACACCTGACGACACGACTTATGTCATCTCTCACCCTAATCTTGCCACCCTCAACACCATTGTTAACGAGGAGCTGATCAAAATATCGACTTGGATGACAGCCAATAAACTTACGCTTAACACTGACAAAACCTACTATATTATGTTTGGTAGCAGAGCAGGAGTTGCGCAAATTAACATTAAGATCGACAAACACTTAATTACCAGACATAATGAGGGCAAATTCCTAGGCCTTTCCTCGACAACAACCTGAATTTCAGCACCCATATCCAACACATAACCAAAAAAGTATCCAAAACGATTGGGATCCTCTCCAAGATACGATACTACGTGCCGCAAAATGCCCTTCTCACACTATACCATTCACTTATTTATCCATACCTCACCTATGCTATTTGTGCTTGGGGATCAACTGCAGCAACACACCTAAAGCCAATAATAACCCAACAAAAAGCCGCAGTAAGAATAATCACTAAATCCCATCCCTGGCAACACCCCCCCCCCACTCTTCATAGATCTAAACTTACTCCCTGTTCAGAACATCCACACTTACTACTGTGCAATCTACATCTACAGGACCTTAAATTCCAATATTAACCTTGACCTAAAACACTTTCTTGATAGTTGTGACAGAACCCACAGGCATAACACCAGACACAAACATCTCTATGACATTCCCCGTGTCCGGCTAAACCTTTACAAAAATTCCATGTATGTCAAAGGCCCTAAAATCTGGAATACCCTACCTGAGAACTCTAGAACTGCAGACACATTCATCACCTTCAAAACTACCATTAGAAAACATCTTATCTCCCTGATACACCCCATCAACTAACTACACGAATACCACCTGGTGGTTCACACTTACACTCACTCACTCATTTGACCATAAACAGAAATATTAATCTCAATCTTAAAATAATGAATCCTGTGATACTCCAATACTGAAACTATGTACTGTGCCAAAACAAAAGCATTCACATTGCTAAACTCACAAACTAGTATTTAGTCACTTAGCCATAATACCAGCTTACCTCATAATTTGTAATATTTTAAATTTAAGAATTAATCTTAGCCTGCCCGGAATGCCTAGCCATGCTAGGTGTTCTAATGGTACACTCTGTAATTATTATTTTACTACATGTAAACCACACAATAACCAAATTCTGTAAACTCAGCATTGTAATTCTTATAGAGAATAAACTTTGAATTTGAATTTGAATTTGAATTTGAATTCCAGGATGCTGGAGATGGGTCCTACAAGTTTGGTCACTGGGGATCTGCACATGCCATTTTTTCCTAGAATCTGGCCATACTTACCTTGCTTCAGCATTGAAAATCTGAACCGATCAGATGAAGCTTTCTTATGCTGTGAACGACTATATAAAAGTTTAACTTTGATGGTACCTCATAACTGATAACCATGTTAAGTTCCCCTTTGGGTTGTACATAACAACAACAACAATAATAATAATAATAAGTAATAATAATAATAATAATAATATCTTTATTTCTACTAGTACATGTGCAAGGTATACAGGTCTAGCTAACATCAATGACATACTACTGAACAGAAAGCCTTTTGTTATGCTGAGCATTTAGGGCAAATTGGGTCAGTTTTGTCCCAGGATGCGACCCACACCAGTCGACTAACACCCAGGTACCCATTTTTATTGATGGGTGAACATGGACAACCGGTATAAGGTAACACGCCCAGTGTTTCAACCCTCGCCGGGAATCGAACCCGGACATTGACCGTGTGCCACCAGGTCACGAGCCACCTGATAATAATAATAATAATAATAATAATAATAATAATAATAATAATGTGGCAGGTGGGTGTGCCGGTGGTGAACACTGACCAGGATGTGTGTGATGAGTGGAGCACAGGAGAAGCCGATGCTGCCCATCACGCTGACGAAGGCGAACCCCCTGGCGCGAGCCTCCGTCGGGAACAACTCAGGAGCGTAGACATAGTTGACCTTCACCCAGGTGATGGTAGTAGGACAGACAACACACCCAGGTTTATGGTGGCAGGGAAGACCGCATCAGGGTCATGGTAGCAGGACAGAAAAACACCCGGTCTGGTGGAGGGAAGAAAACACCCGGACATGGTTGCAGGGACAGACAACCCGGTATGGTAGCA